CTTTGCTCCATGAATCCAGCGTTGAGGTCCCGCTAGCCATTGACGGACCCCAAAACATGGCCGCCATCGAGGGCTTGGCATCCGACTACCGAACAGAACTTTATATAGCAGAAACCTCCGGCTCTGTTCGTGGGAGGTGGGCGCAATTCGCACACTTAATGCATCCAGCGCTGAGCTACCGAATGATATGTGGAAAGGACTATATTCGCTTGCTAATGCCTGAGTTATATATTTTGTTACGACACTCACCGCCAGGTAGATGAAGCCGCCGTTTAGTGAATAATCCCACTCTCCAGAAATGCAGTTTCTATCCAGCCGACTGCCAAACTCCCGAACGGAGTTCACGAACACGGCAACTCCCGATCAGCAAATCAGTCGAACGCCTTCCCAGCTAGAAATAACGAAAGCGCTGTCCCAGTAATAATTCCCCCACAAACGAGACCAAGCTCTGTCTTGAGGGTCAAATAAGGATCTGTTTAATGGGGGCTACCTGCCCGGTATTTATGCAGGTCTCCACAAGGTGGACACTCCCCGAGGGGACCTTGTGGAAGACTGTAAAACATATTGGACAGTAGCCAATCGCAGTGGCTTCAATATAAGCCCTTCCCATCTTACCCATAAACCCTTCTTCTCTACCCCGGAGATAATGAGGAAGAAACCTAATTATCTCCCAGGATAGAGACAATCGCCATTTTAAAATACAGTAAGAAAAACACATTAAAATACATAACTGAAGAAATACCGAATGAATATAGTTCGTGTAACGTATCCCCAGACAGCCTGGATCTGAGTGCATATTTCTACCGAATAGCGTTCAGATCCGATGTATCTAGTCGAATCGCCATGAAGTCAAAGTCTTTCACCAGTCCTTCGGTATACGAATGACTCCATGGGACGGCTATCTGGGTAAAGGTCCATACGAATGTATAAAACTCCCGAACAGACCGGCGTTCGTGCGCCTCGCCGAAATAGAAGGTGGGCAGCAGCTTCCAGCGGTGTTCGGTAGATTAAAGTGTCCGTTTTTAGTTCCATAGAATTTGTACCGAACACCGCTACGCTTCCTCGTGTCCCAAAATGGCCGCCGCCTCATGGTCGGCATGCGAACGACGACCACCCGTACGAATGGAATGGAGAGGTGTCTGCGGTTAACCACAACGTTCTAATTGGGGCCAAGAGGTTAACCAGCAGCACACTCCTCTCCTGGGTGGTCGTTCGTTCGGTAGTTTCAATCGGTATTTTATAATCACACGAACAGGGGCATACAGACAGGAAATCCAGCGAAAACAAAGGGTAACAGACAAACCAGCAATACAGATGAATCTGTCACACGGCTGCCCCCTTGTGGGACACTCCGGCAGACCCGGCTTGACCCTTTGGCGGGTCAACGTGGGGATGACCGGACTAGGAGGTGGTAAGAATGTCTGTTTGCCTGGACAATCCATCTGCATTCCCGTTCTGCTTACCGGGTCGGTAGCTGATGGTGAAGTTATATGGTTGTAGTGCTAAACTCCACCTCAGCAGTCTGCCATTGTCTCCTGAGACCCGGTTCAGCCAGACAAGGGGATTGTGGTCCGTCACAAGGGAGAATTCCTGTCCATATAAGTAAGGGCTTAATTTTTTCAATGCCCACACCAGAGCCAAACATTCCTTCTCCACTGCCGCATAACTCACTTCTCTGGGTAACAGCTTTCTACTGAGATATGCGACAGGGTGCTCTCCTCCATCTTCCCCGACCTGGCTCAGCACAGCCCCCAGTCCATACATGGAAGCATCTGTATGGACGAGAAAATGTTTGTTAGGGACTTGGGCAGCCAGGACAGGGGCATTCACAAGAGCCTGTTTAAGTGCTTGAAACGCAGCTTCACAAGCTGGAGACCACAGGACCTGCTTAGGGAGATTTTTCTTTGTCAGGTCAGTCAGGGGTTTAGCAATAGTGCTGTAGTCAGGGACAAAGCGTCTATAGTACCCTGCTGTCCCTAGGAAGGCTAACACCTGGGTCTTAGTGATAGGTGTGGGCCAGTTAGCTACTGCCTCTATCTTGGCTGGCTCTGGTCTCTGGCTCCCACACCCCACTCTGTGACCCAGGTACTGCACTTCAGCCATGCCTAAATGGCACTTCTCTGGCTTCAATGTCAGGCCAGTGGCCCGAATTTTGTCCAGTACTACCCCTACATGTACCAGGTGTTCCTCCCAGGACCCACTGTAGATCGCAATGTCATCCAGGTATGCACAAGCAAATTCCTGGAATCCATCAAGAAGTCTATCCACCATACGCTGGAAGGTAGCCGGGGCATTCTTCATCCCAAATGGCATGACCTTGAATTGGTACAGGCCAAATGGGGTGACGAAGGCCGACTTGGGGATAGCATCCTCGGCCAGGGGAATCTGCCAGTAGCCTTTACACAGGTCTATGGTGGTCAGATAGCGCCCCCTGGCAATGCGATCTAATAATTTGTCTACCCGGGGCATCGGGTAGGCGTCAGTGGTGGTCCGCTCATTGAGACGCCTGTAGTCCACACAGAACCGGGTGGTTCCATCTTTCTTAGGCACCAGGACGACAGGCGAAGCCCAAGGGCTATCGGAGTGTTCGATGACTCCAAGCTGGGTCATCTCCTGTATCTCCTTCCGCATTCCTTCTTGGACTGCTTCAGGGATACGGTAAGGGGGTTGTCGCAGAGGGTTCTGTCCAGGGGTTTCTACCTTGTGTACAGCTAGGGTAGTGTAGCCAGGTTCTTGGGAGAACGTCGCCTGCTTCTCCCACAGAAGCTGTCTTGCCTGGTCCTTCTCGGTGGAGCTCAATCTGTCCCCTAGCTGTACCAGGCTAGTAAGATCCGTCTGGGAGTCCCTCTCTAACAAATCTGGTAAGGGTAAACTTTCTGTATCGTCTGCAGCAGGGGCACATACTGCAGCGACATTCTCCGGTCTCTCCTGATACTCCTTTACCATGTTCACATGGAAGGATCACTGGATCCTTTCATCCGAACAGCTGCCTATAAGGTAGGTAGTATCGCATACCTGCACTAACACCTTATACGGGCCCTGCCAAGATGCCTGCATCTTGTTCGCCTTCACAGGTTTGAGCACTAACACTTTCTGCCCAACCTGGAAGACTCGCTGTCGAGCACCCCGATCGTACCATCTCTTCTGTCTCCCCTGAGCCATCTGGAGATTCTCCCTTACCATTAAAGACAGTTTCTCCATGCAGTCCCGAAGTTCCAGAACATACGGCACTATGGGGGTCCCTTCCTGTTCTGTCTCCCCCTCCCAGTGGCCTCTAATGAGATCCAGGGGTCCGCGGACCCTTCTCCCATATAGCAACTCAAAGGGGGAGAACCCAGTAGATTCCTGGGGCACCTCTCTGTAGGAAAACAACAGATGAGGCAGGAATCGCTCCCAGTCTCTGCAAGTTTCAGAAAAGGTCCTTAACATCTGTTTGAGGGTACCATTAAATCGTTCACAGAGACCGTTAGTCTGTGGATGGTAAGGTGAGCTAAGCAACGGTTTAATGCCGCACACCTTCCACAGTTGCTGGGTGAGCACAGCAGTAAATTGGGTTCCCTGGTCAGAGAGGATCTCTTTAGGGAACCCGACTCTGGTAAAAATCCTAACCAGGGCATCAGCAACTGACTCTGCCTCTATATTAGACAGCGCTACTGCCTCTGGATAGCGAGTGGCATAGTCCACCACGGTGAGAATATATTTCTTACCGGATGGACTAGCCCTGGCCAGTGGACCCACAATGTCAACGGCTATGCGGGCAAAGGGCTCCCCAATGATAGGCATAGACGTAAGCCTAGCTCTTGGGTGGTCCCCCCGCTTTCCTACCCGTTGACATGTGTCACACGTACTACAATATACCCGCACAGCCTGATTAAAGTTTGGCCAAAAGAAGTTCTGCATGATCCTATAGGCTGTGCGGCGAGAACCTAGATGGCCAGCTAGCGGAACATTATGCCCTATCCGCAGAATCTCCTGCCGGTATTTTGCGGGCACCACCAGCTGTCGATTCGGCGGAGGGGCAACACTTTTCGGGGAAGGCTTAGGGATCCTATACAACCTGTCCCCCACCCACTCATACCGTTCCCCATCTACTCCTTCCTCTCCAGTATCTGCCTTGTCTCTGTACTTCTGGAGAGTCGAATCTGCCTGGGTTTCCCTCCCAAACTCCTCTGGGGAATCCCAACTAATAAAGGTCTGATCTAAGGTACCAGTCGGGGAATCGGGTCTTACCTGGGTCTCAGCAGCAGGTGGGCTGGTTCCAGCAGCACGGGTCTGAGCACGGGTAGTCACTGGGTTGATATCAGCAGGTCCCATTGGAGCATAAGCGGACACCAAAGGGGCCAAGTCATTCCCGAGCAGAACATCAGCAGGTAAGTCTTTCATGACCCCCACATTCACATGTCCAGAGCCCACTCCCCAATCCAAATGAACCCGGCAACAGGTAGACGGAACACTGCACCTCCTGCTACCCGCACTGCTACAGTATTTCCGGTGTGTTGGTGTTCTGAAACAAGGTTCTTTTGGAGCAAGGTCATAGTGGCTCTGGTGTCTCTCAGACCAGTTACCGCTTTGCCATTCAGTTTAACGGTCTGCCTGTGCTGCTGTCGGTTATCCTGCTGTGCTGCTTGTACTGGATCTGCCTCATGTAGTATACCCCAAAATTCCTCCTGCTCAAGGCAGTGAGCGGAAGGTTGGGGTGGCTGCTGATTTCCGCCGGCTGGTCTTCTCCACGACTGGGCTTGGCTAGAATTGTTCAATGGACACTCCGGTCTCTTGTGCCCCAACTGTTTACACCCATAGCATCGGATAGGCTGTGAATAATCCCGGGCGTTGAATCGGGCTGGCTGAACATAATTGTTCGCTGTTGGCATTGTGGGGGTGCGTTGCGCTGGGTGTTGATACACTGTAGTGGTTGGAGGAGCTGCCGGTTTGTACTCCACTCCGGTAGGGACCTTGGTTGCTGTCTGGTCCAGTTTCCGTGCATCTGTGTACTCATCAGCCAAACAAGCAGCTTCGGGTAAGGTAGCGGTTTTGCGGTCCCTAACCCACTCTCTGACTCCTGCAGGTAAACGATCAAAGCAGTGCTCCAACAAAAACACATGCAGCACTTCTTCCCCAGTTACCGCTTGGCACCCTGCCATCCAGTGGGCTGCTGTGCGGTGTACTCGGCATGCCCACTCCACATAAGAATCGCCAGCTTGTTTGTTAGTGTCCCGGAATCGCCGCTGGTACGCCTCAGGGGTTACAGCGTACCTGGCCAAAAGGGCATCTTTTACTGACCGGTAGCTGGTGATTTCCTCCTCCGGGATGGCCCAAAACGCCTCACTGGCCCGGCCGGATAACTTCCCAGAGAGGATGGTGACCCATTCCTCTGCGGGTACCTGGTGTAAGGCACACTGCCTTTCAAAATCAGCCAGGAACCCATCAATCTCTCCTTCGGCTTCTACAAAATTTCTAAATGCAGCAAAGGGTACTTTCCTTCTTCCATTATTGTTATAGGGTACCTCTGCTGCTGCAGCGCCTCTTCCCTGGAGCGCCTGTTGGGCTGCTACTGCTGCTTGCACTTGAACCACAATATCCGCTGCGGGGTTGGGGCCAAAGTGTGCCAGCCTTATCTGGACTGCCCGGTTAAATTGTATCTCCTCGGGTGTTAACTCCAGTATGCCAGGCACATCAGCTCTCCCCGTTCCCTGTGCTGCATCCATTTCCAATAATATGGCAATAATCTCTCTTTTCTTGAGATTACTCGCTGATCGTCCTCTGCGTTCCAATATATCTTTAAGGGTAGCACGCCTTAATTCTTCATACTGCATTTCCAACCTGGGATGTGTAGCTGGCCTTCTGGGCGGTAGGATTCATCCCGTCGCTTGCCACCAATTGTTACGACACTCACCGCCAGGTAGATGAAGCCGCCGTTTAGTGAATAATCCCACTCTCCAGAAATGCAGTTTCTATCCAGCCGACCGCCAAACTCCCGAACGGAGTTCACGAACACGGCAACTCCCGATCAGCAAATCAGTTGAACGCCTTCCACAGCTAGAAATAACGAAAGCGCTGTCCCAGTAATAATTCCCCCACAAACGAGACCAAGCTCCGTCTTGAGGGTCAAATAAGGATCTGTTTAATGGGGGCTACCTGCCCGGTATTTATGCAGGTCTCCACAAGGTGGACACTCCCCGAGGGGACCTTGTGGAAGACTGTAAAACATATTGGACAGTAGCCAATCGCAGTGGCTTCAATATAAGCCCTTCCCATCTTACCCATAAACCCTTCTTCTCTACCCCGGAGATAATTAGGAAGAAACCTAATTATCTCCCAGGATAGAGACAATCGCCATTTTAAAATACAGTAAGAAAAATACATTAAAATACATAACTGAAGAAATACCGAATGAATATAGTTTGTGTAACGTATCCCCAGACAGCCTGGATCTGAGTGCATATTTCTACCGAATTCAGATCCGATGTATCTAGTCGAATCGCCATGAAGTCAAAGTCTTTCACCAGTCCTTCGGTATACGAATGACTCCATGGGACGGCTATCTGGGTAAAGGTCCATACGAATGTATAAAAACTCCCGAACAGACCGGCGTCGAAATAGAAGGTGGGCAGCAGCTTCCAGCGGTGTTCGGTAGATTAAGTGTCCGTTTTTAGTTCCATAGAATTTGTACCGAACACCGCTACGCTTCCTCGTGTCCCAAAATGGCCGCCGCCTCATGGTCGGCATGCGAACGACGACCACCCGTACGAATGGAATGGAGAGGTGTCTGCGGTTAACCACAACGTTCTAATTGGGGCCAAGAGGTTAACCAGCAGCACACTCCTCTCCTGGGTGGTCGTTCGTTCGGTAGTTTCATTCGGCATTTTATAATCACACGAACAGGGGCATACGGACAGGAAATCCAGCGAAAACAAAGGGTAACAGACGAACCAGCAATATCTGTCACATATTTTTATACTGTTTTCTGGGACATAATAAAGCATGGTCGTTTTGGGCGCTTGGAGATAATTATCTCCAAGCTGGGCGGGTACTAGTTTGAATGATACACTGTATTGTGATTGGTTGAATACTTGTACTGTACCTGTATCCCATCAGGTCCATGGGGGGCTGTCCCTGGACCTGGGGACTTGCATAAATTGCCATGCTTGTGTGCCAGTAAAGCCAGTTCATTTTGACCCTCAACTCGCAGCCTTGACTCGTGGTGTAGGGATCCGGGAATAATAGCACTCTTACAGCTCGTGGGATATTCTACACTTGCAGATTCTACCGAATGGAACCATGTTTGACTCTCTGACTTCGGTAACCAGGACATCCAAGCGATCAACCCTCCTGCTAGACCGGGGGCAATCGTAACAATTGTCATGCCCTTCGGATTATGCAATGCTCCGGCCGTGTTTCAAGATTTTATTAACGATGTACTCGGGGTCTATAGCTATTCATTTGTTCTAGTTTACCTGGATGATATACTTATTTATTCCCCAGACCTCCAGACTCATCATGAACATGTTAAACAAGTATTACAAACATTGCTCGATAATGGATTTTATTGTAAACTTGAAAAAAGGAATATTGATCAACATGAGGTTCAGTTTTTTGGGTATAATATTTTTGCCTCTGGTTTCCAAATGGATCTTCGCAAACTAGAGGCCATTCTACACTGGCCGTTACCCAGTGGGTTAAAAGCCCTCCAACGGTTTATTGATTTCTCTAACTATTACAGGAGATTCATCAAAGGTTTCTCTCCGGTAATAGCCCCCCATCACCAATATGACACGCAAGGGGGCTAATTTTATAATATGACAAGAGGCTTTGTATTTGCTTAAGTCTCTCTTTACTAGAACTCCACAGCAGCACAGAAAACAACCAATCAGAAAAAAGTTAGGTACTATAAAACTCCCCTCCCCATACATAATTTCCTCTTTCTTTGCTGCTCCGCATCAGTACAGTGCAAAATAGCTTCCACCAGATCACCCGTGGAATAAAAATTAAACTTAGCTTTGGATACTTGCTTCCCTCCAGTTACCTCCCAAATTGGTAACTATATATAGAATATTATGTAGTACATATAGAATAGGGATCCAGCTTGTATCACTTAAACACAAATAAAAAATACAACATAGCGTAATATTGTTGCAGCCTTATTAATTGCCCAATAGTTCAAGGTTACACTTCAGATTGCCACCCCTGTGAATATCCCCCTGTATATCCTACTGGTTGTAGTAACGCCAATCTGGAGACCAAGAAGTTCACACTCTCCCAATGGTTGGATGTAGAAAGCAGTTAATTTATTGGCATATAATAAAATAAATAAATAAAAAAAATTGGTCCATTTGGTCAATTGCATTCTATCACCATCCCTTTCTGTTATTTGGACCATTTTTTTATTTGGTTGCAGCTAGACCCTTGTTTTTTGTTATATCTGCTCTCTGGAGTCACCTGTTGTGAGCGAAGGGACTTTACGCCTTGCCAGCGTATTGGAGAACGCTATGTGTTCCCGGGACTCCAAGCTAAGAAGGGAGGTATCCCTCTATAGGGAGACCTTGACTTCGGTTATCGAACTCACATTCCTGGGGCCTTGAGCTGGGGCCTACTCTGGGAGATACGTGCCCGGACAGTCAGGGGTGCAGGGACCTAGGGGTCTCACTATGTTATACCCTATCTTGTAGGTGGCGTGTAGACCAGGAACCCCTACACAGATTTTGACAGGTTGGGCATGGAACAGGATCGTACTACGGGTTAGCGGATTATTTCACTCTCTCACTACAGCACGTGAGGACTCTTCGCTGTTATACAGATCTCAATCAACATTGGATCCGTACATCTTCTCACTCTTAGACGACGACATATCTGGATGGAAATCTCAACTCCGGTTTACATTTCCCATCCCTCTGAATATTTCTGGGATTCACTATACCCAGAATAGTCGACCACCGTTCCACCACACAAGTTCAGTTTGGACCCTGATTGGACGTCCCTTGGGGAGTTCCTTCTCTACCGCAGTCGTGGGTTGCACAGTCCATTTGGAATACTGGATTCACTTAGGATACGGCTAGTTTGACGCACTCTTGCCTGCTTTATAAATTTATTCTCGGATGAGAATACCCACCGGGTAGGTCATGAGGGAACGAAAAGACCCTAATGAGTTCTATGACGGAATTGGTAGTAGGCTTAGACGCATTACTTGAGGTTGTAGATTTACCTGTATGGCCACATTGCCTGGTAACCCTGGCACGATCGGTGGAGCCATCGTCCACATCAAGAGTCGAGACCTGGTGGCAGTTTCTTCTAACAGCCCTAAGTCCGCAAATGACCTTCGACAGTTTACACCTACAGGAAAATGGCTAATAGGGTCAGTTTGGCAGCTCATGGACCATTTGAGATGCCTCGACAGCTGGCATCTTCATCGATCCGTCTTCTGTCACTTCTCGCAGGGAAGGTCCGTTTAGGATGACTCTAGTAACTTCCGGATTAGGTATCAGCAAAACAATCAGGGTTGGATTTGTTGGCTGAGCGTTAAAACAGCAAATACGAAGCCTCCTGTCATGTTATAAAATTGTAGATTATGCTATCTTTAGTGTACCTATAATCTTAATTTTATTAATGACAGGAGGCGAGTATTTCCCACCCGTTCTTATCCGTCCCTTGTTTAATTTTATAGTTTGGATTCATCAGGTATGTATGCAACTCTGCTTGTTGTCTCTGCTACCTGTCACTTGTTCTTATGTCTGTTTTTTCATAAGTAGGGTTGGGATAGATGCAGATTACATTAATTTTGGTTATTGCATTGGGTACCTACATGTTTGTTCAGAGTACATTTCATTGGCTAATCAACCTGTTCAATTCTGTTTTTCTCTCGTTTCAGTTTACAGTCCATCAACGCTATCTGGTTCGGCAGCTCTTTTCGGATGGACATACCTAGGACTTTGTTTCTTCCCATTATATTTTCTGCCTTGTGTTCAGTTTTGTCGCAGCTTGAAAGAGGAAATGATGCATGGGGAGGGGAGTTTTATAGTACCTAACTTTTTTCTGATTGGTTGTTTTCTGTGCTGCTGTGGAGTTCTAGTAAAGAGAGACTTAAGCAAATACTCGCCTCCTGTCATTAATAAAATTAAGGTTATAGGTACACTAAAGCTAGCATAATCTACAATTTTACTATATGGCCTAAAGAGGCTTTTGAGCTTCTTAAACAAATGTTCGTATCTGCTGACATATTAAGACACCCTGACACTAGGAAATATTTCCTACTTGAGGTTGATGCCTCCGAGACAGGGGTCGGGGCTGTTCTTTCTCAGAGAGTCAGGATGCCCCTTTGCCTCCATGTGGATACTTCTCCAGAAAATTGTCTCCTGCCGACCGTAACTATGACATTGGTAATAGAGAACTGTTAGCCATCATCCTAGCGCTTAAGGAATGTCGACATCTTTTGGAGGATTCCAAGAATCCCATTCTGATTATTACTGATCACAAGAACCTGGCATATATTGGGGATGCCAAACGACTGTCTTCTAGACAAGCTAGATCTGGCTTCCCCAAACTCCGGCCCTCCAGATGTTACTGAACTACAATTCCAATGATTCTCAGCCTATCTATTTCATTCATAGAATCATGGGAGTTGTAGTTCAGCAACATCTGGAGGGCCGGTGTTTGGGGAAGCCTGAGCTAGATAGTCATTTTTGTCTCGCTTTAACTTCATTATCACCTACAGACCCGGTTCTAAGAACATTAAAGCTGACGCCGTGTCTAGGCAATTTGACGTTGAATCGGATCTAGAACAAGAGACATCCCCTATTATTTCTCCTGAGTGTATTATTGCATCCACTGTCCTTTCTTTATCGTCCCCTTTGCTCCAAGCTATCATGGCGACTCACCCCCAGGCACCTTGCAACAAATCTCAAGATACATTTTTTATTCCATTGTCTGATAGGAAAGAGGTGCTAAAGGTATTCCATGACAATGTGACCACTGGGCATCCGGGTATTAATAAAACTGTATCTGTTATTTCCAGGTCATTTTGGTGGGAGTCACTCAGGAGGGATATTAATTACTCTGTCTGTGCAGTTTCGAAGGTTCCTCATAAACTTCCGTGTGGATTGTTACAGCCACTTCCTATACCTAGTATCCCATGGTCTCATTTATCGATGGATTTCATTGTTGAACTGCCTAGTTCCAATGGATATACAACCATCCTCATGGTAGTTGACTGTTTTTCCAAAATGGCACACTTTACTCTACTTAAAAAATTGCCATAGTCTCAGGATCTGGTGCACATATTTATACCCGATATTATCAGTCTACATGGTATTCCTCAAAATATTGTGTCTGACAGGGGTTTCCGGTTTGTATCACGGTTCTGGAGGGCATTCAATAAACAGTTGGCCATTGAAATGTCATTCTCATCTGCTTACCATTCCCAAACTAATGGTACGGCTGAAAGAACGAACCAATCACTTGAGCTGTATTTACGTTGCTTTGTTAATAGTACACAGTCTAACTGGGCTGAATTATTGTCCTGGGGCGAAATTGCAAGGAAAAACGCTACCCATGACTCGCCTGGGCATCGTCAGTTTTTTCTCAATACGGGTCGTCATCCTGCTGTTCTCCCTGCTGTGTTTTCTGATACATCTACTCTGGATGATCACCTCACCTCTATTCGTGATACCTGGACTAAGGTTCACCCCGCTTTTGAAACTGCGGCTGCTCGCTGTAGCAGATGGCACTGAGCTGTCCTGAAAATTGCATATGTGTAACTGTATTCGTGTAAATTGCAGGTTTATAGGTGTCTAAATAACGTGTATTCGTCTGATTGTTCGGTAGAATCATTCGAACAAACTAAGGGAATGAAACTACCGAACAGTCAGACCTCCCCTGTGTGAAGTGTGCCTTCAATTACCCGTTGCAACAATGTTGCGAATGGGTAATTAACAAGCTGTGCAGTAGATCCTTTGTTCTCGGGGTGGCCGCCATTCGGGAAACGAACACGTGGCGGCGGCCATTTTAAAATTCCCGAACAGCGGTGTTTTGCCGTCGAGTGTCTGGAACCCAAATCGGACACTCGACTAGGCCAACACCGCTGAGACCTCCACAAGCTCGGTCCGTTCGGTTCCAAACTACCGAACGGCCCCTCGTTCGGTAGACAGAAACAACTGAACGACGGGATTTATGCTAACCCTACCTGATCTCTGTAGCCTCAGCCTTTCATGCAATTTATTCCCCTATACTGTGACCGACCGCAGGGCCCCATCACTGCCCACTATTATCAAGGAGAAGGCACAACCTCATATGGCGCGGCAGTCCCCATCACAACTATAGAACAGTGGGAAGTTCTTCATGAAGCGGATCCAGTACAGGCCAATGCTGATAATCGTCAGCACCATAGAAAAACTTGGAGAGTAAGCGGTCCAAGGACTACGTGACTCAGGAGCTACTATAACCCTGGTAAAAAGTCACCTGGTCTCGGATCAGGCTAAGCTCAGCAAAACTGTAGCCGTCAGGGTAGCCAGGGGAGCAGTGTACCGGCTACCTACCGCAAGGGTACATTTGCATTGGGGAGCGGGGTCAGGACACGTGGAGGTGGGGTTGATGCCGCAGTTACCAGAGGAGGTTTTGTTGGGGAATGATCTGGGGAGGCTCACGTCTGCTTTTGAGCCCCAGACACCAACCACAGGAGAAGCTCACCCAACAACAGGCCCGCACCCAGGACTACAACACACTCCCAGAGGTTCAGGTAAGAGACCCTTCCCCTTCCTTAGAATGTGTCCCCTTGGCCCCACCTAATGAATTCGCAGCTGAAGTAATAACTGACCCTACGCTGCAAGTATATAGGGACAAGGTTGTCACTGACTCACCCGGGGGGAGGGAGAGAGATTTGTCTGGGACAAGCAGCTTCTATACAGGGAGTCTGACAAGCAGATAGCTGGGTCAGACCCGATAGTCTGACCCAGCTATCTGCTTGTCAGACTCCCTGTATAGTGATGCCGCAGCGGTACCGAGCAGAGTTACTTCCGGATAGCGCATGATATTCCGCTATCCGGACATTTAGGGGGTCAGTCGCACTAGGCACAGACTGACCCAAAGTTTCTTCTGGCCAGGGATCACCCAGGAAGTGCGCAAGTATTGCAGTACGTGCGATACTTTCCAGAGGGTAGGAAAAAGGGGAGACCGAAGGAAGGCAAAACTACACCCCCTACCCATAATTGAGGAACCCTTTAGTAGAATAGCTGTAGATTTGATAGGCCCTCTCAAGAAAGCTAGCCCGTCAGGCAAAAGGTACATTTTAACTGTAGTAGATTATGCCACTAGATATCCAGAGGCAGTGGCTCTGACCATCATCCACGCAGAAACGGTCGCGGATGCCCTCATGCGGATATTCTCCCGGATGGGGTTACCCAGGGAGATTATCTCGGATCAGGGTACCCAATTTACCGCAGAAGTCACCCAACACCTCTGGAGGATCTGCAGCATTAAGCCTATTATCAGTGCCCCTTACCACCCCCAGACTAATGGGCTCTGCGAACGGTTCAATGGTACATTGAAACAAATGCTCCAAACTTTCACAGAGACCCACAAGGACTGGGAGCGATTCCTGCGGCGCACCTCCAATTCGCTTACCAGGAGGTGCCACAGGAGTCCACGGGGTTTTCCCTGTTTGAACTACTAGTTGGGAGGAGAGTCAGAGGCCCCCTAGATCTTATTAGAGAGCATTGGGAGGGAGACCGGAGCGCAGATGGCACTCCCATCATACCATATGGGGAGACCACCTAGGCCACGGCCTTATGAGACCGCCTGGAAGCATTGACTCGGACGGTAAGGGAAAACCTTCAGGCGGTGCAGACGCACCAGCGCACCTTGTATGATCGGGGAGCCAGGGACCGTAGCTTTCAGGCCGCCTGGCAGGGACCCTATAGGGTGGTGGAACAGAGATGCGAGGCCACTGTGAAATAAAAGTTTTAGTTCTGCTCCTGATGCTGTGTGTCGTCCAGTTATTGGGATTGCTGTTGGGATATTGCTATATTGTTTTACCTGCTGGAAACCTTGCTTTATGGATTGATAACTACTTGTTCCTGAGCCTCACTGGGAGCTTAAGCGGAGATAACTTGTGGAATACTGGATCTCCGCTACACTCGCTTTAAGTTTCATGCGGATAAATGGCCATTCCAGTTTCACAGGTGGGTGATCGGATTTGGTTATCCTCTCGCAACATCAGGTTGAAGGTTCCCAGCATGAAGTTTGCTCCGAGATACCTTGATCCTTTTCGTGTGGTTAGGAGAATCAACCCTGTTTCTTATTTTTTGGCCCTTCCAACGTCCTTACGTATACCTAATACTTTTCATGTGTTCCTGCTCAAACCGCTTGTTTGCAATCGGTACACAAGTCCGGTTGTTCCCACTTGTAAGGAAACCAAGTACATTTAAACCTTAATCGGTAGTTTCCTCCCAAACAGCCCGAGCCCAGTGAACATAGCCCTCCGTTCGGTGGTTATAGTAGACGAATTCCCAATTGTAAATCCAATAGTGTTCCTGGATAATTCCCACAGTAAAACACACAAACTCCCAAACAGCATACGTAGTCAGAATAAGGGTACAAAGATGAACTGAGGTTTAATGACAGGCATGCTCTTTTTATGGAATTCAGCCCATGCAAGGGAGCCTCCCATATAATTAGCCATACATCCAATCCTAACAATATACATACTGTACATCTCCTCCCCTCAGATAACCATTAAACACAATTAAAACGTACCAGAAATTCCCCAAAGTTTGGATGTACCCCAAGGACTTGGTGTCTGGGAGACCAACATATTAAAATCTCAGGCCATTCGGTTCAGCCGTTCGGGAGATATAGGACTTAGAAGTTTTGACCGACTGCACGGGCAAAGTAGCCGAAAACAGTTCCATGAATTCTGGCCCTGCAGTCGGTCTTAGATCGCATGAAAAACCTCCCGAACGGCCGGCCATCCAGCTACCATCCTTGGTTCGCTGGATTCCCCATCTGTTGGTAAGCCTTTCTACCGAACGCCCGGTCGTTCGGAAGGGGTTTTACCGAAGGTCTGGAGGCTTCAGCGCTGTTCGCCTGTTTGAGTGTCCGTTTTCAGTTCCAGACATTCAATGGCAGACACCGCTGTTCGGGAGCTAAAATGGCCGCGAACACGAGGAAGTCCCGAAATGGTGGCGAGACCTGCCATTCGTGCAAAACTTCTGCCGAACGTAATCCAGCCAGCAAGGGGGTACAGTCTGTATAAAAGGGTGACAGGGGGGTCGGCATTCGGTAGTTTTACCTACCGAATGCCATAGGGGAACATTGCTATAAACACAAATACAAAGAGGGCATATACAGTTAAAAAAAAGGCATTTCTTCACACTGCTCCGCTATAAGTCCATAGGTCGGCATACCCGCCAAGACCCTGATGGGTTGGCTTGGGGATGTCCGAGGGGCAACAACGAAACAGTCCAGGTTAAGTATCCAATTCCATTTGGCGGGACAAACCGTCTGCATTACCATTTTGTTTGCCCAGACGATATTGCATGGTGAAGTTGTAAGGTTGAAGGGCTAGGCTCCACCGTAAAAGTCTAGGGTTATCGCCAGCCACCCGGTTTAACCACACCAACGGGTTGTGGTCGGTCATCAGAGTAAACGGCCGGCCGTACAAATAAGGTTGGAGTTTCTTAAGGGCCCACACCAGGGCTAGGCACTCCTTCTCGACGGTGGCATAGCTGACCTCCCGGGGCAACAGTTTACGACTTAGATAGGCCACCGGGTGTTCCATGCCATCGTCTCCCACCTGGCTTAACACGGCTCCCAGCCCAAACATGGAGGCATCTGTGTGGACAAGAAATTGTTTAGAGTAGTCTGGTGCTGCCAACACAGGAGCCTCACTCAATGCTGCTTTCAGTTTCTGGAAGGCTGCCGCGCACTCTGGGGTCCAGGTAACCTGTTTGGAAAGGGCCTTTTTGGTGAGATCAGTGAGGGGTTTGGCCAGGGCGCTATAGTCGGGGACAAATTTCCGGTAATAACCGGCTGTTCCTAAGAAGGCTAAGACCTGGGTCTTAGTCCGAGGTTGGGGCCAATTCGCTATGGCCTCTATTTTGGCAGGCTCAGGCCGCTGTTTACCTGACCCTACCCTGTGGCCGAGGTACTGTACCTCCGCCATACCCACGTGACATTTGTCCGGTTTCAACGTAAGTCCCGCTTAGTGAATTCTCTCGAGCACCCTGGACATGTGGCCTAGGTGGTCTCCCCATGTGCGGCTGTAGACAGCAATATCGTCTAAATACGCACATGCGAAGTCCTGGAGTCCCTCCAGGAGCCTGTCAGCCATCCGCTGAAACGTAGCCGGGGCATTCTTCATCCCAAAGGGCATAACCTTGAATTGGTAAAGCCCAAAAGGAGTGACGAATGCCGACTTGGGGATGGCGGCAGACTCCAGGGGGATCTGCCAGTACCCTTTGCACAAATCCAGAGTGGTCAAGTAATTACCTCCGGCCATACGGTCCAGTAACTCATCTATTCTGGGCATGGGGTAGGCGTCTGTTATGGTGCGGTCGTTGAGCCTCCGGTAGTCTACACAGAAGCGTGTGGTGCCGTCACGCTTCGGTACTAGTACTACCGGAGAGGCCCAAGGGCTTTGAGAGGGTTTTATTACCCCTAACTTGAGCATATCGGCAAGTTCTGTCAGCATGCTCTCACGCACAGCCTCGGGAATGCGGTATGGCGGCTGCCGTAGTGGCGTCTCTCCCTGGGTATCTACCCGGTGTACCGCAGCGGAGGTATAGCCTGGGATGGCAGAAAACATGCCCTGGTATTCCCGGAGTAAGCCGGACGCTTCCTGTCGCTCTATAGGTTGTAGGTTCTGACCAAGACTAACCTGGTCAATACTGCAGGGAGAGGAGTCTAACAGATCGGGGAGTGGGAGTCCCTCGCTATCTTTGGAAGAGGGGCCGACGTCTTCTGTCCGTTCATAGTAAGGCTTCAGCATGTTTACATGGAAGACTTTGGTCAGTCTCTCATCTGAACATTTACTTACAATGTAGGTGGTATCGCTCATTCGCTCCACCACCTTGAAGGGTCCCTGCCAGGCCGCCTGGAGCTTATCCCTTTTGGCGGGTCTCAACGCTAATACTTTTTGGCCCAAGTCTAGGACTCTGTCTCGGGCACCCCTGTTGTAGCACCTCTTTTGGCAGTCCTGGGCCGCCTGCAGGTTCTCCCGAACTGATTCGGTGAGAGTTTGCAGCGGGTCGCGGAACTCCAATACGTATTAGACTATAGGGATCCCCCCATCATCCGTGTTGCCCTCCCAGTGCTCCTGTACGAGATCCAGGGGGCCCCGAACTTTTCTCCCGAACAGGAGTTCGAAGGGGAAAAACCCCGTGGATTCCTGGGGCACCTCACGATAGGCAAACAGGAGATGGGGAAGATACCTTTCCCAGTTCCTGCAGGACTCTGCGAACGTTTTTAGCATTTGCTTGAGCGTGCCGTTAAAACGTTCACAGAGACCGTTGGTCTGGGGGTGATATGGGGTGCTAAAGAGGGCTTTCACTCCGCAGCTCTGCCACAGCTGTTGTGTCAGGAGAGCTGTGAACTGAGTCCCTCTGTCGGATAGGATCTCCTGGGGGAAACCTACCCGGGAGAATATTTTGACCAGTGCCTCGGCTACCGTTTCAGCCTCTATATTGGGAAGGGCTACGGCTTTGGGGTACCGAGTGGCATAGTCCACTACGGTGAGTATGAACCTTTTACCAGACTGACTGGGCCGACTGAGGGGTCCTATTAAATCTACCGCTACCTGGTGGAACGGCTCGTCTATGATGGGTAACGGGTGGAGCTTCGCTTTTTGGTGGTCACCCCGTTTCCCTATTTTCTGGCAAACGTCACAGGTCCTGCAATAGTACTTGAGGTCTTGAGTGATCCTGGGCCAGAAGAAAGTTTGGGTCAGGCGGTCCCTAGTCTTCTTAACACCTAAATGTCCGGCTAGGGGAATATCATGGCTGAGTCTTAATAACTCAGCCCGAAACTTGCGGGGCACTACCAGTTGTCTTTTAGTAACCTGGGCGGTTCCGTGGACCGCCCCATCTGTCACCCTATACAACAGTCCCTTATGCCATTCAAATTTTTCGTGGGGGTTGTCGCCCCTATTGTCCCCTACTGCTTTTCTATACCTGGCTAGAGTGGGGTCAGTCCTTTGTTCCTGCTCAAACCCCTGGGGAGTATCCCAGAACGAGGAATGGGGGTCGGGTAAAGGGGGGATGTCAACTCCTACCTGGGTTTCCTCAGAGTGCAGCGATGCTTCCAGTCTGGCTTGAGCTCGGGTGGTAACCGGATACGCTTCAGCTGTGGTGTCTCGGGCTAGCTGGGAAGTTAAACAGCCCACATCATTCCCCAACAGTACTTCGGCTGGTAGCTCCTACATAATGCCAACCTCTAGTTGTTTAGATCCCGAGCCCCAATCCACAAGAACTTTAGCCGTGGGTAATTTGTGGATGGCACCCCCGGCGACCCTTACTGCCACAGTGCGGCCCGTGTGAGTTTGAGCCTTGACAGTATGCGGTTGAACCACAGTTAACGTGGCCCCAGAGTCTCTAAAGGCGCGGGCCCCCACCCCGTCTACCGTAATCCATTGACGGTGGTGGTCCCGGTTGTCACCCCCGGCTTGCACGGGGTTGACTTCGTGCAACACACTCCATTGTTCCTCGTGGGGAGGTACCCATGATGTACTCTCCTGCTGTACACAATGAGCAGCGGCCCTGGGTTGTGGCTGTGGAGGTTGCCTTTCCCAGCTTCCCCGGTTTAAACGTGGGCACTGATTTTTAAAGTGTCCTGGTTGTTTGCAGTAGTGACACACTGCAGGTTGTCGGGGTGCTGCTGCTGGGTTGTGGGGCGAATTACTCAGGGGGGCTCTAGGTGGTGCAGCCGTGGTTGGGGCTGAATAAGGTTGTTTGAACGTAGGTCAGCTCACCCCTTGTTCTCGCCTCCGGTTATCCTGGTATTCATCTGCCAGTCTTGCTGCCTCCTCCACAGTTTTAGGCTTCCTGTCTTAAACCCAGTCCTTAATATCCTCTGCGGTATGGTTAAAAAATTGTTCTAATAGGAGGAGTTGTAACGCATCCTCCAGAGTGGTTGCTTGGCAGCCCTTCATCCAATTTCGGGCTGCCCTGTGTAGCCGGAATGCCCATTCAGTATGGGTATCCCTCCCTGTTTTCCTCAGTTCCCTGAATTTCTTTCTGTATGCCTCAGGGGTAACCGCATACCTAGCCAACAAAATGTCTTTTATCTTCCCATAATTGTGAATATCCTCATCAGGTACTGCTCGTGCTGCTTCTGATGCTCTGCCTGACAACTTGTTGCTCAGTACTGCAGCCCATTTGGTGGAGTCTAATCCCTCCAGTGCACATTGCCTTTCAAAGTCTTGCAGATAACTATCAATCTCCATTTCATTGTCATTAAAGTTTTTAAATGCAGCATAATTTACCTTTTTCCGCATGTCATTTGTACTTCCCGGGGAGTGTAGCAAATCTCCCTGTAGTAGTCTGTCATCTCGCTCCTTCTGTGCTTGCCTTGCTTGTGCCATGACCTGCAGCATCGCCTCTGTTGCTGGATTAGGTCCCAATAAACTGAGCATCCATCTGATGTCCTTCTGCATCACCGTTTCTTCCTCAGGTTCCATTTCTGTAGTGCTGGTTCTGTCGCCCTGTAATAGCTCTGCAATTAACGTGGCTTTTGTTTTGTTGCTTGATATTACGCCTCGAGCTTCCAGCAAATCCTTAAGCGTGGTTCTTTTAAGCTGTTGGTACTGCTGCGCCATTCATTCCTTTGCTTGCTTTAAAACGTCCGTTCGGGATTCGAATCCCGCCGCTTGCCACCAGTTGTAAGGAAACCAAGTACATTAAACCTTAATCGGTATTTTCCTCCCGAACAGCCAGAGCCCAGTGAATATAGCCCTCCGTTCGGTGGTTATAGTAGACGAATTCCCAATTGTAAATCCAATAGTGTTCCTGGATAATTCCCACAGTAAAACACACGAACTCCCAAACAGCATACGTAGTCAGAATAAGGGTACAAAGATGAACTCAGGTTTAATGACAGGCATGCTCTTTTTATGGAATTCAGCCCATGCAAGGGAGCCTCCCATATAATTAGCCATACATCCAATCCTAACAATATACATACTGTACATCTCCTCCCCTCAGATAACCATTAAGCACAATTAAAACGTACCAGAAATTCCCCAAAGTTTGGATGTACCCCAAGGACTTGGTGTCCCCAGATAGCTATTGTCTGGGAGACCAACATATTAAAATCTCAGGCCATTCGGTTCAGCCGTTCGGGAGATATAGGACTTAGAAGTTTTGACCGACTGCACGGGCAAAGTAGCCGAAAACAGTACCATTAATTCTGGCCCTGCAGTCGGTCTTAGATCGCATGAAAAACCTCCCGAACGGCTGGCCATCCAGCTACCATCCTTGGTTCGCTGGATTCCCCATCTGTTGGTAAGTCTTTCTACCGAACGCCCGGTCGTTCGGTAGTTTGGAAGGGGTTTTACCGAAGGTCTGGAGGCTTCAGCGGTGTTCGCCTGTTTGAGTGTCTGTTTTCAGTTCCAGACATTCAATGGCAGACACCGCTGTTCGGGAGCTAAAATGGCCGCGAACACGAGGAAGTCCCGAAATGGCGGCGAGACCTGCCGTTCGTGCAAAACTTCTGCCGAACGTAATCAAGCCAGCAAGGGGGTACAGTCTGTATAAAGGGGTGACAGGCGGGGTCGGCATTCGGTAGTTTTACCTACCGAATGCCATAGGGGAACATTGCTATAAACACAAATACAAAGAGGGCATATACAGTTAAATAAAAAGGCATTTCTTCACACCACTCCTCTTTTGGTTGTTTCTGGACAGGAGGAGTACGAAGTCTTCTCCATCATTGATTCCAGGTTTTCTCGTGGTTCCTTACAGTATTTGGCTGATTGGAGGGGGTATGGGCCTGGGTTCTTGG